TACTAAGCGCATCCCATCCTCCTGGTTTTTAACATCTGACCCTAAGTGCAGAAGGTAGGTTGACCATTGAGCCCCACTGCTTGATATCCATTTTCACGCAAGACTCTAGAAGTGTGATCACTAACCATGCAGAGTCTACATCCATGCATTGTGGTTTCTAAAACCCAGTGATGACTTCTTAACCTAAAAAAAAAAAAATTTCCTAGAGAGATACTCCAAACCATCATCCTGAACTCTGCTAGCATATTTAACAACTGACTACATCTGGATAATGCACTATGGAGGGATACGTAAATTCAAATTAGGAAAATGGCCTGAAGACACAAATTGACTTGTAGCACCTGCTGCAGGCCAAATCTCCCATGACAACCCCTGAGCTTGGGACATACTCCACCAACTCACTCCAGTGCCACTAAAATATTCCATTAAAAGATTAAATGTAGCTGCAAAACATATCAGCAATATTAGTAGATGAACAATCAAAATTAGCCTTAATTCCAGATTTCAATCAAGTGGTAAAATTATTTTGGGTGAAAGAATACCTCAGAAAAAAATTTCTTCACGTAAAATCCCTATGGTAGAGTGATGCTTGGGATAATTTTTCCAAGCAGTCTTTGTGGAGGGTTAAGAGATGAATCACCATTGCTGGAAAGACACATAAGCTCATTCTCCAGAAGGGAATAGGCTTCGGAAAATGCCTGAATCAGAGGAAAAAAAAATGTTTTAAGGAACAAAAAGATAAATTAGCAACCATGTTATATTTTCTTAAAGGAATTTTCTAGTTTGTGCCCCTTTTAAAGTGCATTTATTGCACCTCATTATCATTAATTTACATAAAAAAAAAAAAGTTGACTTAAATTTTATCAACTGTCCAATTAAATTGTTCCATGTGGCATTGATATTGAAAATATAATTTACTTTTGTAATTTTCTATACAAATTAATGGTGAAAAGGTGCAATAAATGCATCCTTAGGGCACAGGTTAGAAAGACCTTTTCTTCAAAGCATCTATGCTGGCACACAAAAAGAAAGATAAAGACAGAATTTTTACCTCAGTAGCTAATTCCCACAAAAAGTAAACCTTTTAGACAATTAATCCTACTGGAAGGTTAAAGTCCATGAATATTTGCAAAAAGATTTATTTCTATCATGTGTACTTACGGAAATAATTTGCTCCAGTTGGTTAAAATAAGGTTTACATGCCTGAAATAAACATAACCAATTCATATCTCCAGCTTAAGTTCTCTGACCCACAAATAATGGCTTAACACTTTGAATCCAAAGCATGCTGAAAAATTGTGATTTTCCAAAATTAACCAATCCTGTTTCTTTTCTGTCTATTTTCACATTCTCTAATATCTTGACCTAACAGCTTCAAGTTACATAGATGTGAACCACCTCACCCACACATGTCAACGTTTTAGTTTCTAAATTCAACAATATTTTCCTAAACCTTTTATGTTCCACAGTGAAAACTTTTCTATACTGCAATTATACCTATTATTCTTCTTTTATCTAGAATTGTGAAAAATGATCATGCTAGGGCCACCATCCTATCCAAAGATACATCACCATTGATTTAATCTTAAGCTGACCTTGATACACTGATGTATGCGGAAGCAATTCCTCCCGACATTATTTGTTGGAAAAAGAGGATCATCAATGTGTAATGGATCAATGCTACAACAACAAAGAGCAAGCCATTACCACTGTATATGATAGGGAGATAAAGATAAAAGCATGTTATACATAGTTATCAAAGAAAAAAAAAAGTGTTACTACTAC